GCGGTTGCATAAGCCCGCTTTAATGCTTTTTTAAAAGCAGAAGGGCGGGCTAAAAACAATATCTGATTTTTTGAGGGAAAAGGAAAAAACTTTGAGGACCTTCCGTATTTGAGGGAAGCTCCTCGGATCTCGCCTCTAATTTTGAGAAACCTCCTCAAAAATTGTGGGACAATCGCACGTTTTTTGAGGAGACCTCCTTGACATCTGACAAGCTTTCCTCAAACCGAGGAATTTCTTAAGTTTTCCATTTTCCCACAAAAAATAAGACATTGTTTTTACCGTGCTACTTTTGCAGGTTGCCCCTGACGGAAAAGTTCCAATTCTTCTTTAAAATACAATTGTTTTGGGGTTATTAGAAAGTAGCACGGTAATTTTACTTCGGTACACCCCGTAAATTTGTTGTCAGTTTTGTTACCGTATTTTTGTGCTGCAATCTACACCGTTACGGTGATACATCGTAACGGTATTGTGCTGTGCATAGTGAGCACCAAAACAGCTCCGTTAGGGTTGCATTGTGACTTTCACTGTGAGTTCCGTCAAAATGTCTAATTCCGGACATTTTTGACCGTTTTTTCCCCGTTCCTTTTATACGCTACGAGATACGAAAAATTCTAACGGAATCTAGAAATGACACATCAGGCCACATATTTTCAGACCGTCAAAGATTCTTTTCCTGCACATATCCACCTAAGAGTGAGAGCCTGTCCAGAATTAAACCCGAAGGGTAAATCCGAACACTAGTCAAATATCGACAAGCAGCGGCTCAAAGTAGTGTCCCATGTTCGTATTAGGCGTTTCTAGCGTCCCGGAAGCTCCCATGCAGCAGCGGGTAGCGTTCATTTCCTCGCCCTCGCCTCCATATTGGTTACTCAAATTGAACAGTGCAAATGAATAAAACCAGTTTTTAATATGTTTGAAAATGAAGAATATGACAGAGGTCTTTGGAATGTTTGTCATGCCTTTTCGAAAGTATTAAGCGTGTATAAAAGAACAAAGTTTAAAGGTATTTGTCATCATTTCATTTTACACAATTTTACAGTTTTACACAATTTTACACAATTTTCATTTGTTGTCGAATTTATTGACGTGTTTGGTATTCTAATTAATAGGGGCTCCACTGAAGTCACTACTCCTCTGAAGCTTGCCGATCACATATCTTACCTTGTTTTGAGCGTCAGATGCATAGTTTGGCGTCCAGTTTACGAAAACTGGAGATGTGTCCCAGTGTCCGGATTTAACCGCGGCTGGGCCGGAATTAAACACTTACACGGTACAGCTGATGAAAAGTAATAACAACAATAGATAAAGTGATACTGTTTCAGCCAGGTAAAAAACAAGCAGTCCCGCCCTTCCGCCAAACGGAGTTGCCGGCTCCACTTCGCTGCGCCGGCAACTCCGTTCGGCAGGGGCCGGGCCTGCTTGGCCTGCCGGCGGCGATGGTTGGGCCTTCGGCCCGACCATTTCA